CCCCAAAACCCCAAAACCCCAAAACCCCAAAACCCCGATTTTATAAATATTAATATGATAATAGATCATGAAATTAATCTAATAATAATTCATATAAATCATAATTAATCTTTGTATGCTTATCAAGTACAGCTGATAAAGGATTTTTTGCCATCCTCTATGACTCCTTTATTAAGATAGGTGTACAAACCCTCACTAATGTTATAATTCACTCCATAGTCTTTATATCCTAGTCTAGTCTGACTCTACATAGTGACAGTTTTAGCTTTGAACACCTAAGTACATTCCTTGACAGTGATCAAAGTATCAATAATCATCCCATACCAGGTAGCTTGTGAGAATCTGTAATTTGTAGTCTTGTTGTAAGTGTTCTATGTATCTGGAACAACCACACCTTCGACCACTTAATCTGTATTCTCCTTAATCCAAGAAGTTATCATGGTTTCCACATCAGTTTGCTTAAAGGTCACTGGGAATCTCATCTCTATATTATTAGCACGATACTGATTAGACTTGTTGACCCTGATGCAGCCATTAGAATTGGGAGGGCAGTGATCATTATTTAGAGATTCAGTAGACACTATAGCTGAGAAGAACTGCAGTACAAACATCAGGATGATAATTCTTGCCAAAATTGACATGCTGATGAACTAAACTTTAATAAATCATTTATCACTTACCACAAGCAATCTGACTATAGATCTCACTAGACCTTTTTTCTTAAGCAAACGGATCAGACTGTCAGCTATTAAAGTAACAAAGTGAAAAAGTCCCACTGCTATTGCAAAGTATTTCCCTTCTTTATACATGTTATTCGAGCAGAGAATGTATGTTCCAATATCAAACATCTACTCAATTATTAGTATCAACTTGATTGATTGACTTACTAGAATAAGTATAAAGCAGGCGTAGAACTATGTTTATGCCCAGTTACATCTTTAAAGCTAAAGTTTCTGCATGAATTGGCCTTTCAAGTCAGATGTACTCCCTCCCAGAGTTTTATTTGACTTTAATTAATGAGTCTTAGAGAAGCTATTATCTTGATGCCTAATAGTCTCATCAGTATTAGAATTAGGTCCTTGTCCTCCCACTATTCTACCATTAGGCCCATACTTTGAAAAGAAGGACTCATCACTTTATCCAACATTTGTTCCAAAGACTGAATTTTGATTTTATACATCTCTTCTCCTTAACTAGTTATATATGCTTCCTTTGCCCTTGATTATCTTTGGACTGGTACTCTCATTACTCATATTCATATTCTAGGATTGATCCTCCATCTTATTATTATTATAAAAATATTATTTCTAATTATTTCAACTAGATCTTTATGCTCGGGGTTTTGGGGTTTTGGGG